TCTGCCAGCTGCATTTGTGGCGCCATTAACAATGAATGGCACCATCCGAGCACTGCGTTCCGGGAACACCCCCAAGCGCTGCGTTCCGGGAACACACATGATAATCTGCATCCCCAGAACATGCAGATGTGAACGGAGCTGAAAACCCTTTTTTGTATCAAACCTCACATTCCATTCAGTTTGTATCAACCTGCAGCGGGGGAGGAGGTGACAATTTTGGAACAATGAATGGCACCACCTGAGCGCCGCATTCCGGGACCACCCCTGAGTGCCGCGTTCCGGGACCACCCCTGACCTCCGCTTCCGGGAACACCCCTGAGCGCCGCGTTCCGGGAACATGCAGATGTGAACGGAGCCAAAGACCTTTTTTTGTATCAAACATCACATTCCATTCAGTTTGTATCAGCCTGCAGCGGGGGAGGAGGTGACAATTTTGAACAATGAATGGCACCACCTGAGTACCGCATTCCGGAAACACCCCCGAGTGCCGCGTTCCGGTAACACCCCTGAACGCCGTGTTCCAGGAACTCCCCTGATCGGCACGTTCCATGAACACCCCTGAGCGCAGCGTTCCGGGAACATGCAGATGTGAACGGAGCCGAAGACCTTTTTTGTATCAAATGTCACATTCCATTAAGTTTTAGAACAATGAATGGCACCACCTGATCGGCACGTTCCATGAACACCCCTGAGCGCCGCGTTCCGGGAACATGCAGATGTGAACGGAGCCAAAGACCTTTTTTTGTATCAAATGTCACATTCCATTCAGTTTGTATCAACCTGCAGCGGGGGGAGGAGGTGACAATTTTGGAACAATGAATGGCACCACCTGAGCGCTGCGTTCTGGGAACACCCCTGAGCGCCGCGTTCCGGAAACACCCCCGAGCGCCGCGTTCCGGGAACACCCCTGAACGCCTCGTTCCTGGAACATGCAGATGTGAACGGAGCCGAAGACCTTTTTTTGTATCAAATGTCACATTCCATTAAGTTTTGGAACAAAGAATGGCACCACCTGAGCACCGCGTTCCGGGAACACCCCCCCGAGCGTCGCGTTCCGGGAACACACATGATAACCTGCATCCCCAGAACACGCAGATGTGAACGGAGCTGAAGACTTTTTTTTGTATCAAACATCACATTCCATTCAGTTTGTACCTACCTGCAGCGGGGGAGGAGGTGACCATTTTGGAAAGGCAGCGCCCCTTGTCCTTTTCTATGTAAGCGCCCCCCCCCCCCCCCCCCCCCCCCCCCATGTATGACTGTTGCGTGATTCTCGGTGCGTGGGAAGACATTTTATTGGCTGTAAGCGGCAGGTGAAGCAGTTTTCGATAAGCAGGACAGCTGCTGGGGCGCACAATGCATACCTGCCTGAAATAGATTACAATTCAATGACTCCGCCGGAGGCCGCGCGAGATAAACGCGGTTTATACAAGGTCGTATGGATTAGCGCTGGAACTAGATCGCCCTTTTATTTGTGTCACGCTCCGGCAGCTGAGCGCTCAGTCATTAACGTGCCGCGAATGAAGAGCGATCTATAGGAGGACTGTTCGTTTTTGATTTTTTTTTTCTCTCTGGGATTAAATGAGCAGAAGCAGTGAGAGGATTCCGGTCTGTGGAGTGGCAGCGATTATGTGAACGTGCGAAATGCCTGTCAGTGTTCTGCGTTCATTAAAAATGCACAAAAGAGGAAATAATAGACACACAGATATTCTTGCGTATTTTTTGCATCTTTTTTTTTTTCTCCCACTCTACCTGCAAACAGATGCATTGCGGAGCGATTCATTTGTAATGGCACCCGAGGTAGATGGGCAACACAGCATTTAGTGCACCGCAGCGCATTAGTACATGGCGATAGTAAAGGGTCATGTTCCTTTTTTTTTTTTTTTTTGAAACCTGTTCTAGTACAGTCATGCATGCTAATGTGCGTTTTGTTAAGGCGGCCCGTTGAAAATAAATGGACTGACTTACCGCAACGCATGTTAACCCGCATTAATGCACTGTGAAGGCGAAAACGGGCCAATATAGACACTTTTGCAAACCCATTTATTTCCCTGTAAATGCCCTCCTTGTGCAGACATAGAAAAGCCCGGAGACTGTTGCTGGATGCCGCCATCTTGGACTGTGGCGGACATTCTGACTGTGGGGGGGGGGGAACTGACTTGGTGTCACTGACATCCCCAGTGACACCAATACAGAGATCAGCGCTAATAAAAAGCCCTGACACTGTACTAATGGCACTGGGCAGGAAGGGGTTAACATCTGGGGGGATCAAAGGGTTAACTGTGTGCTGGATGTCAGGGGTGTCCCTAGGGTTGTGTCACCCGGTGTGGTAACACTTGGTGACACCCCCTCTGACGATCACCGCAGGATGGATCAGATCTGCGGATTAAGCACAGGGGCGGACTGACCATTTGGAAACTCGGGCACTGCCCGACGGCCCGGGGTCAGTAGGGGGCCCCATGAGATGCCCCTGGTACCTTTTTCATAGGCTTTTTTGAGTTTGGGCAAGGACACAGGGGCCCCATAATCCCCTATTGCCCGGGGGCCCCATGAGTCAGTCTGCCCCTGATTGAGCATAATGGATCAGAGTCTGATCCATTATGCTCCCTAATCCGCAGATCCGATCCATCCATCCTGCGGGGATCATCGGCATGCAACCTATACGGGGTGACACCGGACCCGCTCCATGAAAAGGTAAGTTGTAAAGAAAGCCGACGATCCCCGCAGGATGGATAGGATCAGGGCGGACAGACCATTTGGAAACTCGGGCACTGCCCGACGGGCCCGGGGTCAGTAGGGGGCCCCATGAGATGCCCCTGGTACCTTTTTCATAGGCTTTTTTGAGTTTGGGCAAGGACACAGGGGCCCCATGATCCCCTATTGCCCGGGGGCCCCATGATCCCCTATTGCCCGGGGGCCCCATGAGTTGTCAGTCCGCCCCTGGATAGGATCCATCAGGTGGGGATTGTCGGCTTGCTTTACAACTTACCTTTTCGTGGAGCGGGTCCAGTGTCACCCAGCGCGGGCCGCACCTGCCTCTGGACGCCACTGCTGTGTGTGTTTCACTGTACGCATGCTGCTTTGCAGAGCCATACAAAGCAGCATGCTGGTGCTGACAGGGGAGATGATCTGTGTATCATAGGTCTCTCCCCTGTCAGTGAAACAGCTGAGGCAACCAATGGCGGCACGGGTAGGACGCGCGTGCGCCCCCTACCCGGAAATACAAAATCACATGTATACACGATTGTGCGCAGCCCTGCCGCCCTGTAGCCGTATTTCGGTCGGGAAACGGTTAATGGCTCCGGCTATGTGACTGCGCCGCAGTGGACGCTGCGCCCCGTCCGGGAATAATAGGGACTTTGTTGCAGTCGGTCTGACATCTGATGAAGGGGTCTGACAAACAGACAAACACTGACCTGTGTCTGTAGAACGGCTACAAGGGGCCTTGTCCTCACAATGGAAGGAGTCTGTGAGTGGCTGATGTCAGCCATTGTCCGGAGCGGTACATGGCGGCACAATGCGGTGCCCCCCGCAGTCCGCATCATATGACCAGACCGCCTGGGACTCCGTCCTATGACTGTCACCGCAGTCTGGGATCATTACTCGTCTACTTTCCATCATATACAATGGTATCTGAGCCAGGAGATGGGGGGGCCAAGGAAAGGGCGATGCGGTCTGAAATCCTGCGCCAATCGAGAGGTCAACCGGGGAGATCAGATTATAGGGTCAGGGAGGAAGGACAGGGCGGGGCTTATGGTGGAGCAGTCAGTAACTTTATTCGTTCGCAGGAATAAATTCCCCACATGTCCCAATATAACAGCCACCTTCTATCATTACACAGTGCTTGAGGTTTAGTTCAGTGACTCTGCCTAGGCTGAGATGATGTCATCAGTCTGCTGCAGGCAGGAGGAAGCATTCCCTCAGTCTCCCCTCCCCCAGTGATCAGACTGTACATTGTAACTTTGTAGAAGGAGGAGGAGTCATTTAACACGCACATGACCTGTAATGGCCCCCCAGTCTTAGTCCGTAGGGTTTCAATATTGAGTTGGCCCCGCCCTTTCCACGCACATGACCTTTAATGGCCCCCCAGTCTTAGTCAGTAGGGTTCAATATTGAGTTGGCCCCGCCCTTTCCACACACATGACATTTAATAGCCCCCCAGTCTTAGTCCGTAGGGTTCAATATTGAGTTGGCCCCGCCCTTTCCCCCGCACATGACCTTTAATGGCCCCCCAGTCTTAGTCCGTAGGGGCCCCAGCCAATATTGAGTTTAATGCCCCCCAGCCCTTTGAGTTGGCACACACACATGACCTTTAATGGCCCCCCAGTCTTAGTCCGTAGGGTTCAATATTGAGTTGGCCCCGCCCTTTGCAGCTATAACAGCTTCAACTCTTCTGGGAAGGCCGTCCACAAGGTTTAGGAGGGTGTCTATGGGAAGGTTGGACCATTCTTCCAGAAGCACATTTGTCAGGTCAGGCACTGATGTCGGGGGAGGAGGCCTGGCTCGCAGTCTCCGCCCTAATTCATCCCAAAGGTGTTCTATGGGGTTGAGGTCAGGACTCTGTGCAGGACAGTCAAGTTCCTCCACCCCAAACTGGCTCCTCCATGTCTTTATGGACCTTGCTTTGTGCACTGGTGGGCAGTCATGTTGGAACAGGAAGGGGCCATCCCCAAACTCCTCCCACAAAGTTGGGAGCATAAAATTGTCCAAAATGTCGCCTTAAGAGTTCCCTTCACTGGAACTAGGGGGCCAAGCCCAACCCTGAAAAACAACCCCCAACCATAATCCCCCCCTCCACCAAACTTTACACTTGGCACAATGCAGTCAGGCAAGTACCGTTCTCCTGGCAACCGCCAAACCCAGACACGTCCATCGGATTGCCAGACAGAGAAGCGTGATTGGTCACTCCAGAGAACACGCCTCCACTGCTCTAGAGTCCAGTGGCGGCATGCTTTACACCACGCCATCCGACACTTTGCATTGCACTTGGTGATGGAAGGCTTGGATGCAGCTGCTCGGCCATGGAAACCCATTCCATGAAGCTCTCTACGCACTGTTGTTGGGCTCATCTGAAGGCCACACCAAGTTTGGAGGTCTTTAGCTATTGACTGTGCAGACAGTTGGTGACTTCTGCGCACTGTGCGCTTCAGCATGCGCTGACCCCGCCCTGTCATGTGACGTGGCCTACCACTTGGTGGCTGAGTGGCTGTTGTTCCCAGTTGCTTCCACTTTGTTATAATCCCACTAACAGTTGAGCGTGGAATATTTAGTAGCCAGGAAATGTCACGGATGGACTTATTGCTCAGGTGGCCACCTATCACGGGACCACGCTTGGAGTCACGGAGCTCCTGAGAGCGACCCATTCTTTCACCAATGTTTGTAGAAGCAGTCTGCATGCCTAGGGGCTGGATTGTATACCACCTGTGTCCATGGAGGGGATTGGAACACCTGAATCACATGATATGGAGGGGATTGGAACACCTGAATCACATGATTGTGAGGGGATTGGAACACCTGAATCACATGATATGGAGGGGATTGGAACACCTGAATCACATGATTGGGAGGGGATTGGAACACCTGAATCACATGATATGGAGGGGATTGGAACACCTGAATCACATGATATGGAGGGGATTGGAACACCTGAATCACATGATATGGAGGGGATTGGAACACCTGAATCACATGATATTGAGGGGATTGGAACACCTGAATCACATGATATGGAGGGGATTGGAACACCTGAATCACATGATATTGAGGGGATTGGAGCACCTGAATCACATGACTGGGAGGGTGGGGCCAATACTTTTGACAATAGTGTGTTTGTGTATATAGTATCTCCCAGAAGTGAGTCCACCCCTCCCCCAGACTGTATACAATGTATATATATATAAAATCTCTATGTAATTTTATATTCATGATATTCTTAATAATGAATCCTAATGAATTAGGCTGATGCGGTGATGCCATTTCCTTACCACACCAATACCTATTCCTGACCCTGGCTGTCCTATAACTCCTCCCCCATGGCAGCAAGGTGCACAGTCATTGGTCGGGGCGAGAAGGATCCTTCACTGTAGGTATTTTAGTTGTGACATCTGAATAAAGGATGATGCAGTTTTCATGTTGCCTATAATGAGCCTTGCCTGCTGTGCAGAGTTCTCCTTTAACCCTTCTTGGGTTCCCCCCCCCCCCCACTGCAGCCGGTTCATTCTGATGTCACTCCCACTCACAGGCGGTGTCCCCAGGAAAGGCTTTTCTATCAATGTTGAGCCAGAACTGATCCTTTCATCCCTGACCCGGCGAGTCCAGATTTCCTGGAAAGCTGCAGCCAGTAAACCTCGTCTGTCCGGCCACATCCGGGGTCATTGCCGTCCTGGGAAATCCAGATGACCAATCAGCGCACTGCTCGCCGATAGAAATGTCCGTTGTTATCTGGAGGGAATTGTGATCTGGGAAAGGCCGAGGATTCTGTATTCTCCCTTCGTATAAGTTGCTGTATTCTTTTCCTGGTGCGACTCTCGTGCGTCTGTGCCCTACTTCTGCCTTCGTATAATAAAATGATCCCACCATGGAGGTCCTTGGTCAGGCACTTCCTGTTAGAGGGTGACAACACTCTGTCCCTGTGCTTTTGTGTTGTCACCCTGTCACTTGGGCTTCTGATGGAGACTACAAGTGGCCGTTACAGCGCACATGACACAGATCTGATCTGCTGTTGTCACCCCCCCCCCACCCCCCCGAGAAATACCAGGAAGCCTTTGCTGGACTACATGAAGTGGCTGCTAAGAGGCTGGGGGAGATCGGCAGCACTGAGATGCCAGAAAATATGGAAAAAGGGGGAAATTGAAGGAATTCACCGTAAATAATGAGCAGTTTATGATGAATTGAGCGTTAGCAAACTAAATGTCATCCTGTCAGGGCTCACTTACTACTTTGTCGGGACTCATGGGTAAAGTTTAGGTTCAAGCTGCTTATATTGGATCTTCTTTGGTTCCTACATTTCCTCCTCATCAATAGACTATTAGTGTTTAAATAAAATCTTATCATTTTCATTACATACCTAATTGTAGAAGCACTGGGTCTCTGTGCTTCTCTATGCAATGAAGGAAGATTTGGGCTGGTGGGAGGGGCCAGCAGGCTGCTTCCTGAAAACATCACAGCACTCTGCCTTTGTACTCCTCTCAGGAGCCTTCAGTCCTAAGCAGGGGCAGACTGACCATTTAGGCGCTCGGGCACTGCCCGAGGGCCCGGGGTCAGTAGGGGGCCCCGTGAGATGCCCCTGGTACCTTTTCATAAACTTTTTTTTGGGTGTGGTTTGAGTGTGGACGAGGACACAGGGGCCCCATGATTTCCTATTGCCCAGGGGCCCCATGAGTTGTCAGTCCGCCCCTGGTCCTACGGCTACTTTCGCAGTGATCAGCCGCAAAAACGCATAGGCATTTTTACTGCGCTTTCTGAGCGTTTTTGAAAGGTGTTTTTCATTGATTTCAATGGGAAGAGGCATTTTTGGGGCGATTTTCAGGCGTTTTTCATTGATTTCAATGGGAAGAGACATTTTTGGGGCGATTTTCAGGCGTTTTTCATTGATTTCAATGGGAAGAGACGTTTTTGGGGCGATTTTGAGGCGTTTTTTTTTTTTTTTTCATTGATTTCAATGGGAAGAGGCGTTTTTGGGGTGATTTTCTGGTGTTTTTTCATTGATTTCAATGGGAAAAGGCATTTTTGGGACGATTTTCAGGAGTTTTTTCAGCGATTTCAATGGGAAGAGACGTTTTTGGGGCAATTTTCAGGAGTTTTTCATTGATTTCAATAGGGAAGAGCTGTATTTGGGGTGATTTTCAGGCGTTTTTTTCACCAATTTCAATGGGAAGAGGCTTTTTTGAGGTGATTTTCAGGAGTTTTTCATTGATTTCAATGGGAAGAGACGTTTTTGGGGTGATTTTCAGGCGTATTTTCATCGATTTCAATGGGAAGAGACGTTTTTGGGGTGATTGGCAGGCTGTATTTACATAGGTAACACCCACAGGTGATGCTGAGCCTCCATGATTGAAGGAACTGAAATCCATCCAGTAAATGAAAGGGGCGGGGCCAGGGACAGTCAGGCTTGGGAGAAAAGTGCTAGATGATGCTGAGCCAGGGGTGGACTGACAACACATGGGGCCCCCGGGCAATAAGGGATCATGGGGCCCCTGTGTCCTCACCCCACACTTAAACCACACCCCCTAAAAAAGCCTATGAAAGGTACCAGGGGCATCTCATGGGGCCCCCTACTGACCCCGGGGCCCAAATGGTCAGTCTGTCCCTGTGCTGGGCGTCATCTAGCCAGGAAATGAAAGGGGCGGGGCCAGGGACAGTCAGGCTTGGGAGGAAAGAGATAGATGATGCTGGGCGTCACCCAGCCAGGAAATGAGGCCGAGCTCTGACTTGGAGCAGCTTCTAATGCTCATTATGAGAAGCTCACGGCGTGTGGATTGAGTCGTGAGTAAACCCTTACGTGTCGCCGCGTCACCGCCAAATTCCCAGAGCGCCTTTTTCCTCCTGGCACCTCCTTCACTGTGATGCCAGAGGAAACCTTTGATGCTCTGCGCCATCCAAACCTCATTTCCCGGTCAGCGCGCCAAACGCCCGGCTCACGGTGGTCGAATTTTCCCTCCTCAGCCCTGCGAATCTGCGACTTTTCATTGGAAAGAAACCTCATTGTGGGCATGAAGACGCCTCGCCAGGCCGGAGCTCACTAACTGGATTAGGACCTATTACCCGGCACCCCGCCGCTGTCATGGCAGCAGATATTCAGCTCAGGTGAATGGCGAGATTTATCTAAGGAGAGAGCGGAAGTTTATCCTCCCCTCCCCCCACATCGGGATAAAATGTCAGCGAAGCTTTCAGGAGAAGCTGAGCCAATAGTCGGGGATGAGAACCGATCGGCATCCATCGATGAATGGCTGACCACCTGCCGGCTGCGGCCAAAAAGACCAGATTTATATAGCGCTGCGCTACGTAGATCCTGTATAATAATATATTGTATCCATTCAAACGCCAACGAAATCCTAAGAGCTCATTTACATTGTTGCAATTGTTTTTTACTATAAACATTGTAGATTGTAAGCTCCCAGGATCAGGGCCCTCGCACCCCTCGTGTATTGTATTGTTACTGTCTTGTCTCATGTTCTGTCCCCCCCCCCCCACTATAATGTACAGCGCTGAGCAAACTTTTTGGCGCTTTATAAATACTTTATAATAATAATAATAATAATAATCACAGTGGCTGAGTGGTTAGCACTTCCGCCTGGCAGTACTCGGGTCGTAGGTTCATATTCCCAACCACAGCACCACCTGCCTGGAGTTTGCATGTTCTCCCTGTGCCTGCGTGGGTTTCCTCCGGGTGCTCCGGTTTCCTCTCTCGCACTCCAAAGACATGCTGGTAGGGTAATTGGCTCCTGTCTAAATTGTCCCTAGTATGTGTATGTATGAATGTGAGTTAGGGACCTTAGATTGTACGCTCCTCGGGGGCGGGGACTGATGTGAATGTACAATATATATGTAAAGCGCGGAGTAAATGGACGGCGCTATATAAGTACCTGAAATAAATAAATAATAAATAAATATATAATAATTGTCGCATTTTATTATATTTTTTTCAATAAACATTTTTTAATTTTTTTACAATGAACTTTGTATTGTCATTTTGTAAAGTGCAGCACAAACTGCTGGCGCTATATAAATCCTTTATAATAATTTACTTTTTTTTACAATAAACACTGTTGCATTTATTTTTTTTCTTTTTATAAATATTGTTGCATTTTATTTATTTTTGTTTTAACTATAAACATTGTAGATTGTAAGCTCCCAGGATCAGGGCCCTCGCACCCCTCGTGTATTGTATTGTTACTGTCTTGTCCCATGTTCTGTCCCCCCCCCCCCACTATAATGTACAGCGCTGAGCAAACTTTTTGGCGCTTTATAAATACTGTATAATAATAATAATAATAATAATCACAGTGGCTGAGTGGTTAGCACTTCCCCTGGCAGTACTCGGGTCGTAGGTTCATATTCCCAACCACAGCACCACCTGCCTGAAGTTTGCATGTTCTCCCTGTGCCTGCGTGGGTTTCCTCCGGGGTGCTCCGGTTTCCTCTCGCACTCCAAAGACATGCTGGTAGGGTAACTGGCTCCTGTCTAAATCATCCCTAGTATGTGTATGTATGAATGTGAGTTAGGGACCTTAGACTGTACGCTCCTCGGGGGCGGGGACTGATGTGAATGTACAATATATATGTAAAGCGCGGAGTAAATGGACGGCGCTATACAAGTACCTGAAATAAATAAATAATAAATAAATATATAATAATTGTCGCATTTTATTATTTTTTTTCAATAAACATTTTTTTTTAATTTTTTTACAATGAACTTTGTATTGTCATTTTGTAAAGTGCAGCACAAACTGCTGGCGCTATATAAATCCTTTATAATAATTTACTTTTTTTGCAATAAACACTGTTGCATTTATTTTTTTTCTTTTTATAAATATTGTTGCTTTTTATTTTTTATTTTTTTTACTATAAACATTGTTGCATTGTCCTTTTTTTCTGTTACAATAAACATTGTCACACTTTTTTTATTTTTTTGCATTTTATTTTTATTTCCAATAAACATTGTTGCATTTTTTATTTTTTATTTTTTTTTACGATAAACATTGTTGCATTTTAAAGCCAGCATTGCATCGTTCTCAAGGGCACGTCTCCAGCGTCCCCATATTGTTCCTTTCTCTTTGCTGCAACGTTTATCAGAATATGATTTGTCCAATTTTATTATTATTATTATTATTATT